ACTGTTGCCAAATTTGAACCAAAAAGCGACGACGGGATCTTTTCCGGTTATTCAATGAACAGCAGTGCATATCGTGTATACAACAAAGTGACCAAGACCAACATGGACTCTACAAATGTTGTAATTGATGATCAATCGAACGATAGTGGTATTCACAACCTGAGTCAGTGACAGAATCTGAAACTCCTGATCCTGAAACTCCTGAACCAGATCAGAGTCACCTACGCCATCACCAACGCCATCTGAACCTGTCCCAGAACCAGAATCAGAATCTGACACTGATCAAGACGACATTGACATCCCAACACGCGTCCACAATAGATCATCCATCTTCAAAATTAGTTTTGTCATCATCTTTGGTGATAAGGTCTACAGGTTCATTACTCTCTAATTCCTTTTGTTAATTCCTTGAATGTTTTTAGGGTGTTATTGTCTAATGTGTCTTGTGAAATACCTGCAAATATTCCTATGTCTAAAGCTAAGTTTTTATGTGTTCATATGTCTAAAGCTAAGTTTTTATGTGTTCATTTACCTAATTTGGTACCCTCCACTTCAATATCCTTGCATTTATCAAATCTTGACATTTCTTCATCTTTGCCAGTATAATATTCTGCATCTGTGATAGGATCTATTTTAAGATCAGGGAAATTATCTTTTGAATTAATGGTTCTGTTCCTACATGCTCTCACACTGCATATATGTTTTATTTGGAGTGTGTATATGATTGATTTTCCCTCTATTTTATCTTTTTTTTTTTCTTGCAATTAGTCCTTTTTGTTGCCTACTACTCTATGTGTTTACTAAACTGCGGGTTAATTATTTGCGTTTTGTTCTTGACTGTTTTCTATGTGTTTACAAAATGTTCTACTTGGGTTGTTTTGAGTGCTTTTAAACTGATAAACCTATTTTTGCATAGGTTATTTTATTGGTGTTTCTTGTGTTGAATCTTTGAATTCTCTATGGTTACTTGAATGAAAATTTGATGCAATTTGTTTAATATTTGTATTCTCCTGTGTTACTATGCGAATGTGTTTTTGTTGGTCCGGTCATGATCGTATCTGTGTTTGCTTGAGTACTTATTGTGCTAAACTGTTATGAATTCTTGCCTGAAGTTGATTTATATGAATCTGTGCCTGATTTTAATCTATTTGAATCTCTGGCTGAATATGCTTTTCATAACCGTGCTTGTTTTGTTTGTGTGTTTTACCGTGCTATCTGGTATGAATCTGTGCTTGACTTTGCTTTATATGAATCTGTGCGTAAATGTGCTTTACCTGAATGTGCTTACTGTCTTATTTACCAATCTGTCCTTTTGAGTGACCCAATTGTGTGCTTTTTGTGTTATTTGCTACGAATTTGTGCTCGAATACGCTTGTTACTTGGTATGTTTTATCTACTTAATCTGCTCCAACTTGACTTGTGCGTATATGTTATTTGTTAAAATTGCTTTGATAAAATTGTTCGAATTTTTGTTTGGTATGTTCTGGTTGTTTTTGTTGGAATAAAGGGGTAAGTAAGAAGGGGGGAGTAGTAGTTAATATGGTTTAGGTATTGGCTTGACTATGACTGCTGCATATGGTATTCTTTTTGGTACTACTACTCTTATGGTAATCTTCTTTTGGTAAATCTCTTGCTATTATATCTGTCTCCGATTATGAAGTTTATGGTTATTCATCTCTGGCCAAATATAAAGCCTTTATTTGGCTATATGATGCATTGGATTCTCTTACTGGAATTTCTCAGATTTTGGATTATCTCGTTTGGTTATAGTTTTATTTGGCTCATCATAAACTCTGGGGTCTCATTTTATAATCATCACCTTATTTGGATTATTCTTAGATTATCTACTTGATGAGATTATTTTGGATGGGATTGCTTATAAGGCTTTATCTTCTTGGTGTTTGATATTTGATTCTGATCAATATGATGCAAGATTGGATATGAAAAAAATTATACGTGGGTGTAAACCAGAAAGTAAATATGAGGGCTGATACTGGCGCTACTACCAATGGAACTGATGATACTGACAACGACTCAGTTTCGGGCACCCCGTCTGCACGCTGAAACTAATCCACTATGCTGATGTTCACCATTCCTTGCTTTGTCATTTATTTGGCAAAAGGGGGGAATTTTTGGAGTAAGGGGGAGTATTCTTGGAGTATGATGGTATGATGGTATAGTTGTGGCTTTGGAAGCTTTGAAGGTAATCTGGTATATCTTTTGGAAGTTTTTGTTAAGGTATATTGTTGGTATAAGCTTTGAAGGTAATCTGGTATATCTTTTGGAAGTTTTTGTTAAGGTATATTGTTGGTAAACTTTTATGGAAATAATAGGATTATTATGTTAGGGGGAGTAGTAGTCCTTGATGACATTTGTATGGTACGTTTTCTTTTTGGCTACTACTCGCATGAACAAGTTGAATTATGATATGATCTGCTACTTATTCGCTCCTACTGTGTATGGTTCACTCGTGATTATGTTTGGAGGCTTGAAGAAGTTTAATCAGGTATATCATTGACAAGTGGTCCAAAAAGGAATTAAGATGTTTGTTTATTATTATTTTTCATTATGTCACCATGTCTTGTTCAGTACCTATACTAAGGGCTCTAAATAAAAACTAAATTGGTTATGTTTCAATTTTTGCCCAAAGTATTTGATACTTAAGTTTTACCAAATAAAATGGCAAAGGGGGAGATTGTAAGTGTAAAATTATTTATACACGTTGAAAACCTTATTGGCTATTTTATTTAGTATAATTGCTGTTAGTTTTAATTAAGTAGTGTTAGTGTTAATTCTTATTTGGATCACTTGATATCTATCAAAGTAATTGAGTGGATGATATGAATTGTCAAATGAAAAGAAGAGTCATCAGCAGTGCACAAATAAAGGCTTCTAACAAAAACGTGTGGCCTGGAATAATTGAAGGAGTGAGATGCTGACTTTAAGGATCATGGTATTTCATACACACTACTATAAAAGGAAGCTGTTCGAAAGAAGAAGATTGCTGATTTGGAGATCACAATTCTGAGTGCACATTTTTATTACAAAGCTTCCTGATTTAATCTGCTATGTTATTTAATTGTTAAGAATATTTAATCTGCAATACATGACCTGTACGTGGTACTGCTGAAGCATCTTGTGAAGATTGTTCAGGCATTCGTGTGTCAGTCCTGGATAGGTGTTAGAAAGAGTGGTAGTGGTAAAGGCTGGAGGCCATATGTAATTACCTCTTGTAATACTCCTTTTGGTGAACATCTATAGTGGATTGGGCAGACGTGGAGTGCCCCGCAGACGTAGGAGAAGGAGCTCCGAACTGCGTAACAATTCTTCTGAGTTTTTACTTTATTTTATGCTTTCCGTCTCATTATTTATATTTGCTTAATCAAGTCTAATTAATGAACGTAACTGGTGCATAACTTAGAGAACAAGTAAAAATACATTACTTTTTGATTTCAAGTCTCACGGTGTAATTTCACTCATATTGAAAATGTGTTAAAATTCTTAAAGCCAAAAAGTTTACTAGTTTATCTAGTATGCTAATTAGCAGTGAAAAGAATTTCAAATTTAAATCATGGATTATGATTTAAGTTAGTATGATTCTTCAGTTTAGAAAAAACATGAAAAGTTAAAAGCTTAAAATCAAAATGATTTATTTTCCAAAGTTGATGTTCTCTGAATGGAGGAGGTTTATTCTCCAAAGTTGATGATGTCTCAAATGGAGGAGGTTGAATTTTGATTTTAGGGAAAATCACTAACGGTTAATTATTTATACATGGTGATTGAAAATTCTTGGTTATAGAATCAACAGGAAATAAATATTTATTGACTAGGAACCTATAAAAGGGGTTCCAGTATAATCAATTAAATATTTTATTTCACCCGTTCATTAATAGAATATTAAAATTCTATCTATTATCATGTTCAGTTGGCTAAGTGGATGAGATTAAAAGAAATTTTGATATACTTGAATAAAACCATTAATTATGGTTTAGTATATTTAATAGAAATTTCCATCCTGGAAAAGATATTCTAATGCCAGTTGAATGTCTAATCATGAAACTTGTTCCTCAATTAGTAGATGAATATTTCTGCTTGGAGGATGTGTTGTTTTATGGGTTTCTAAAAGCAAAGTTGTCTTTTCAACAACGGCATCTGAATTTCTTATGTTGGCTTTGACATGCAAGAAATTGATTGGCTGAGGAATTTAATTATTTAGATTCCGATTTGGCCAAAAACCGATGTCACCAGTTTAGTAAATTATGGCAGCGCTACTACACTGGCCATATCATATAAACAAGTGTTTATAATGGCAAGTGAAGACACATAGGCTTGACTATGCATTGTTGTAGGGATGAGTTTTTTACTCTTAACTGATCTTTTGAAAAAATGCAAGATGCCGTGCATGATATAAAAGATTAGCCTCTGTGAGCATGAAGTGTGGCCGCTTCAAACTATTTATTATCATAAAAGATAGATTTGTAGCATGAAGTGTGACCTTAAATAGCATCAGTAGACCAAATTATTGTTGTTAATAGATTTGTAGATATTATTATTGTGTTTAACAATTTACAAATGCATTAATATATGTTTAAACTATTCAAATTATTTTAGTATACGCTTATTAACTTTTTTATATTAATTTTTATTTCAATTTAAAACTTTTCAAATTTGGCAGACCCTTGCCAAAGCTCGCACCTAAGGCGAGGCGGGGCAGACCGAGCTCTTTTAAGCCCGTATTTTGCCGGGCTTTTTAGCCCGCCCCACCGGCCCATTTCGATAGCTCTAATCAGTAGACCATGCTATTCAACCTCTGCTAAAATTTATCTTTTATAGAGTATCAGTGGACCTTAAATAACATGGAAATGAAATGTGAAAATGTAGGCAAAGTACTATTTTGTTTAAACTCCCAAGAACAAATATTTTAAAATTTTAAATTATCAAATAAGATCCTACTGAAGATTACCTCTCAAGTTACAATTTACAATCTACTAGAAATCATATGTTTATGAATCTGTACATAAAGAAGAAAAATAGCAAATTGATTCAATAGATACAAGAAATCCCAATACAGGAAGCTACTCAAACAATCATACAGTGGAACTTTGCATCATGGCAGCAGCACCGCGGGTGCCTCATAGGGGGTGAAAACCTCCATTGATCGGGGATCTGATCTATGTTCCATAGCAGTGGTCTTTGCTGGCTTTCTTCCGCTTTTTCCAAAGTTCTGTCATGAGTTGCTTTCTAATACGCCTTTTAGAAGATTGGATCTTTCCGTTGATGCGCTCTGCCTGACTCGTGTTTGAGGCGTTTCTATCTGAGGCGGAGGATCGGGGGAGAAACAAACCACGATTACTGTCAAGTTGTCACAAGTGTTGCGCTTGAGGGCTTCTCTAACTAGCTCTCTTGAACACCTCTCGGGGTCGTTGTGCATCATCAATTCCTTCCTGGCCATTGTCACAGCACACTGGCTACTCATCACATCCCAAAGACCATCGCACCCCATGATTAGGAACTCATCGTCATCTGTTAATATAATCTCTTGCAACTCCGGCTCTGCACTCAAGGGGCAGGCGGAGCCCTTTGGAGCCTTCATATGCCAGTCTCCCAAGGCCCGTGCTACAGATAGTTGGCCGTTTAAGTATCCATTATAGATGACACCTCCGAGTTTTTCAATCCTGTGTCTCTCAGACTTGCTATCTGGTTTATGATCCTTGGATAGCTCAATGGCTCTCCCTCGTTTCCCCAAAACAGCACGACAATCCCCAGCATTCGCAATTATCAATTTTCTGTAACGAGTAGTATACTATTACAATTCTGCATAAATTTTCCTGATAGAAAAATGAAAAGTGCAACGGACTTCTAATTGCCAGGTCATCAGAAGATAGTCTATGGAGTAATAATAGGAGACAAACCTACCACACCATTTAACATGTTCAGACTTTGCATCATGGCAGAAGCAGCGCGGGCGCCTCCTAGGGGGTGAAAACTCCTCCATTAATTGGGGATCTGATGTGTGTTTCGTGACAGTGGCCTTTGCTGGCTTTCTTCTGCTTTTTCCAAAGTGCCGTTTGTCATGAGTTGCTTTCTAATACGCCTTTTAGAAGATTGGATCTTTCCGTTGATGCGCTCTGCCTGACTCGTGTTTGAGGCGTTTCTATCTGAGGCGGAGGATCGGGGGAGAAACAAACCACGATTACTGTCAAGTTGTCACAAGTGTTGCGCTTGAGGGCTTCCCTAACTAGCTCTCTTGAACACCTCTCGGGGTCATTGTGCATCATCAATTCCTTCCTGGCAATTGTCACAGCACACTGGCTACTCATCACATCCCAAAGGCCATCACACCCCATGATTAATTAGGAACTCATCGTCATCTGCCAATACAGGTAGAAAGCTCGGCTTTCCTTCTATCTCCTTGGTGTCAACACCGAAATCCTTGAAAACGAGATGAATTGAAAAAATTAGCCCTTGATGAAGAAATACAGGCTTACTTACCTATACAAGCAATAACTTCATGTAGTCTATCATATTATCAAAAAGGTATTGGCTCAGAATGAGTATCCACCAATTGCAAGGGACTTCATTACGCGGTGTTGCCCTTATGTTTTTGAGACATGCCAGCTTGTGATTTAGTCCCTCTATTTCATTTAAGCTGCAGCCATATCTATATAAATAAAATAGAAACGTTGTTAGAAGCTAGATGATACAAAAGCTACACACAGCAATTAAGTTTGGTAAAAGATGAGATGAGAATATATGTTGTGTAATGCAACAGCTTAGAATATTGTGTGTGTAAGCTACACACGTACTTCAATTGAGTGATGGTTTGGATGTCATTTGAAAAAGAAGAATAATATTATTCTATAAAACCATTTAAAATGTTAATAAACAGAGGATGAAAAAATATGGCAAACTTGCAATAAATTATTTCAAATGCTACAGTAAACCTATTCTTCTCTGTGTTAGCTCCTACAGTATTGCAAATATAAAACAAATTTGACCATTATTTCTCTGTTTTGCAGGGCCTCAACAAGGAGTTTGCGCATATAATATTTGTAAATGATTTATATAAATATATAATTGTTTTAAAAATATATATATAAATATATAATTATACAATAAACAAGATTCATGAATGCAGAGCAGAAGTGAGAGAAATGAGTGAAGTGCATAAACTTAATGATGAAGAAATGAATGTGTACAGGAAACAATATAATGATTCATACAGTGGAAGTTTGCATCGATCATATCTGGGCATGAAGTAGCAGCAGCACCGCCGGTGCCTTTAGTGGCAGTGGTCTTTGCCGCCTCCTCAAACAAAGATGGAGTGAGTGAGTTGTATGTAATACTACAGCTTTTAGAAGATTGGATTGGATTCTTCAATTCAATGGTAATTCACACCTCCCCTTCCCTTGCTGTTACTTAATTACTTCAACTTCCCCATCTATCTATCCCCTTGGAGTTACTCACTCAAACACTTCAACTACGTACAAACAAAGCTGCAGATGAGTTATTGCCTTCAACATACCTTCAGCCTTGACGAGGTAGGCATGCATCATCCCCACTCTACACAATAATCTGATCCTCTAGTTTACTGATTTCCCAATTTTCAAATCTTCAATTCAGGTCTCATCGTTCAATTATCAAGTCCTTCAAAGAGTAAATTGAATCAGGCAACACTTCTACTTTGCACCCTCTTAAATCAATCAATCTTAACTTATGCAAATTTCCAATCCCTTCAGGAAGTCTAGAAAGATATTCACATCTTTCAAGGTATAGACTTTTCAAGTTATCCAAAGAGCAAATTGAATCAGGTAACTCCTCAACTTTGCTATGACTTAAATCAATCTCGCTTAGGTGACGCAAATTTCCAATCCTTTCAGGAAGTCTAGAAAGACACTCACATCCTTTAAGGTCTAGAATTTCCAAGTTATCCAAAGAGCAAATTGAATCAGGTAACTCCTTAACCTTGCTGCGTCTTAAATAAATCTGTCTCAGGTGACGCAAATTTCCAATCCCTTCAGAAAGTCTAAAAAGACACTCACATCCATCAAGGTCTAGAATTTCCAAGTTATCCAAAGAGCAAATTGAATCAGGTAACTCCTCAACTTTGTTGTATCTTAAATAAATCGTGCTCAGGTGACACAAATTTCCAATCCCTTCAGGAAGTCTAGAAAGACACTTACATCCTTCAAGGTCTAGAATTTCCAAGTTATCCAAAGAGCAAATTGAATCAGGTAACTCCTCAACTTTGCTCCAACATATATCAATCTTCCTTAGGTGACGCAAATTTCCAATTCCTTCCGGAAGACTAGAGAGACAATAACATCTTCTAAGATCTAGAATTTCCAAGTTATCCAAAGAGCAAATTGAATCAGGTAACTCCTCAACTTTGCTCCCACTTAAATTAATCTCGCTCAGGTGACGCAAATTTCCAATCCCTTCAGGAAGTCTAAAAAGACACTCACATTCATCAAGGTCTAGAATTTCCAAGTTATCCAAAGAGCAAATTGAATCAGGTAACTCCTCAACTTTGCTCCTACTTATATCAATCTTCCTTAGGTGACGCAAATTTCCAATTCCTTCAGGAAGACTAGAGAGACAATAACATCGTCTAAGGTCTAGAATTTCCAAGTTATCCAAAGAGCAAATTGAATCGGGTAACTCCTCTATGTTGCTCCAACCTAAATTAATCTTTCTTAGGTGACGCAAATTTCCAATCCCTTCAGGAAGTCTAAAAAGACACTCACATCCTTTAAGCTTTAGAACTTTCAAGTTATCCAAAGAGCAAATTGAATCAGGTAACTCTTCAACCTTGCTGCGTCTTAAATCAATCTCGCTTAGGTGACACAAATTTCCAATCCCTTTAGGAAGTCTAGAAAGACACTCACAACTTGAAAGGTTTAGAATTTCCAAGTTATCTAAAGAGCAAATTGAATCAGGTAACTCCTCAACTTTGCTCCTACTTATATCAATCTTCCTTAGGTGACGCAAATTTCCAATTTCTTCAGGAAGACTAGAGAGACAATCACATCCTCTAAGGTCTAGAATTTCCAAGTTATCCAAAGAGCAAATTGAATCGGGTAACTCCTCAACTTTGCTCTCACTTAAATAAATCTTTCTTAGGTGACGCAAATTTTCAATCCCTTCAGGAAGACTAGAGAGATACACACATCCTTTAAGGTTTAGAATTTCCAAGTTATCCAAAGAGCAAATTGAATCAGGTAACTCCTCAACTTTGCTCCAACTTAAATAAATCTTGCTTAGGTGACGCAAATTTCCAATCCCTTCCGGAAGTCTAGAAAAATACTCACATCTTCGAAGTCTTAGAGTTTGCAAGTTATCCAAAGAGCAAATTGAATCAGGTAACTCCTCTATGTTGCTACAACTCAAATCAATGTATCTCAGTTGAAGCAAATCTCCAATTTCTTTTGGGAGTTTCTGCAACTTACAGCCACACAATCTCAATACTCTTACACATTTTAGACCATTGAACATTTTTGGAGTAAGTTGTTCTGGAGAAAGGTCTTCAGCAAAAAAGCTGCGAAGTTTTCCAAAGGCATCACAAATGGAATCAAGATCCGTAGGCCTTTCAATTTTCTGCCATGATAGGTGCCGTAAATTTTCAATCTTCACCTTATCCTCTTGCCGATCAACACTGTAGCATTCATTTTTGGTAAGAAACTCCGCAAAATCATGCACTATGTCATGCATTTTGCAAGATATAATGATGTTGGAATCCTCGTAATCTTTCTCAAAATCTTGGAACAAAGACCGCATTGCTAAATTCCCAAAAACCTCCCGGCCTTTTTGTTCCATCTGATTATGATCACTGCTGCTATTTGCTGTTGTGAGATAACCTTGTGCCATCCAAATTCTAATGAGGCTATCTACGTCTATTTCATAATCCTTGGGAAAGACAGCACAATATGAGAAACATCGCTTCATCTGTGGAGTTAGATCATGATAACTTAGATACAAATGAGGAAAGAGATCTGTTTCCATTTTCTCCATCTTCCAAAATTTATCATCCAGGTTAGATAAAACATATTGCCATTCCTTCTCAGTATGTTTGCTTTGTAGCAGGCTTCCCATGACCTTAACAGCAAGTGGCAGTCCTTTACACTTTTGAGCAATTTGCTTACCAATTTCTTTCAGTTTTCCCTATCCCTCCCGCGCCGACTATGGAAATGACGAGAGGGCCAGGGGGACCTTGAAGCAACTTGCTTATTAAAGCACTGGCATCGGATTCCCGACCTTGAATCACTGATGCATCCACATATGCAGTAGTGGGCACTGGCTTCCATTCTTGATCACAAGTGTGTGTGCGCGCTACAGATGCTTGATCAAATTTGAACTGATCTTTCTCTCTCGTAATCCGATCAAGTCTGGAATCAAGTTCCTTTATTTTGTTGGCGATGTCTCGATGCATAACAATCCTTTTGAAATGGAAACAAGAAGGCAGGAAAGAGCTACAGCTTCCTGCAGTTGGAGCTGCTGCAACCTGGGACGACCTCTCCATCTGTTGTCTGCGACTTCTGGTGCTCCACTCGTCAAGAACATCTTCCACATCATAGCAGAAGGCTTTCATCTCTTCCACCCACAGCTTGACGCTCTCTTCCATGAAGCTTCTCCTCTCTGCATCGACCAACACTGCCTTGATTTTCTTGAGCTTTGATGAGAGGTGTTTGATCTCCTTCTCCACACCCAACGTTGCTCTTAGCTCCTGGATTTGGTCCTTGATGATGATGGACAGCTGATCCACAACAATGGAGATGATAGCGTCGGCCATGGTTAGTTCACTCTGTACTCGATCTGTAGCAGTGGAGACTGAATGACTTTTAGATTGGTTTGGGTTTGGTTGTGTCTGTGTGTTGCTAACTTGCTACCATATATCATTCCTATGCTTACATCATTACATTTCGTACAAGATGTAATTTAAAGTAAAAAAGAAAATGTAATTTATTTAATGTGTAATATATACTGTTGTTGTAATTTCGTACATGACTTTTATAATATAAAGTAAAAAAGAAAATGTAATTTATTTAATGTTGTTGTTTATGCATGTTGTAGTAGTGTCCCATTTCCCATGTGGACGTACACTTTACAGCTATATACACATTATGGTGGACCTCTTTCATTGATGATTGATTGGTAAATGGTAATGGTAGGTATAAGCTATTACTTCTCTTATATCTCTGCATGCATCATCCAACAACTCTATGGTTGTACACTTGTACCCTCTCCGGAAGAAATCAGAGTTTTTTTTTTTTTTTTTTTGGAAAAAAAGAAATCAGAGGTATTAAAGAGTATTTTTTTATATGATTAAATTGAGTATTTTTAACTTGTGATAAAAGTAATATCCCATATTCCCATAGTAAAAATGAGTATCAATGTAGATAGTTATTTTTAAATTGTTTCTCTTATAAATTGTTATTACAAAAAAAAAAAAAAATCATGAATTCCTTTTTATGTACATTAATTTAATAATAATATAATAATAAAACAAAATGCACATAATTATAAGGGTAAAAAATATTTTGCAATGAGTCAAATTAAGAATAATAATAAGTTGATGGACTATTCCATTTCAAAAATTTATTTTGTTTATACACCGGTAATTGACAATTATTTGCTCAAATTCAAACAAAAATAACATAAGAAAATATAATCGATCAAACTCATTTCATCAATTGCACTATATAATGTTCATTGTTATAATTTATATAATTGTATATCGATCCAAATATTCTTAAAATATTATAACAAATCCATTCTGTGCAACACTACACGTGTGAAAATACTATTAAATTATACTTTAGCCACTTCACCGCTGTTTTCAAGTTTAAACTCAATAATGCTTTACAGAAAGTTTTAATGAATTGAAAATGTAGTATATTTTTTTCATGTTGTAATTAAGTCTCCCTCATAGGTCATTGTCTTGTGGACACCTTACACCTAATCAGGCATTGATGTCTTCTCTTTGGTAGTTGGAGAATCCTCTTGGGTTCATAATTTTCACATGTGCACAAAATTGTTGAACTGTAGGGCGATATCTAGAGTATCAACCCGACAAAGATTAAATTTACTCCAACACTCCTATGATTTATAATCTAAATCTAATCTAATCTAATCTAAATAAAAATATAATAAAAGCCAATAAAGTTGACAAATAATACTGTGGACCTGGATTCACATTGCAAGGTGGACTTGGGTCCAAAACAGCATCGTTTTGCTTCAAAACGATACCGTCTGAATTTTTTTAAACAAAAAAATTGCTTCCATGTCGTTAACTTGACATTTGTGTTTAGAATTCATTCCTCTATATTCACAATTTTTGAACTCTATATTCACAATTTTTGAACTCTATTTTCACAATTTTTGAACTCTATTTTCACAATTTTTGAACTCTATATTCACACACACAAAAAATATCGCTAAGGAAACGTTGCCACTAGAAGCACCGTTATTCCAGAAGCGCAAAGCTGAGTCGTTTTGGACTTGGATCCACTTTGCAAGGTGGACCCGGGTCCATAGTATAACAATTGAATAAAGTTAGACCCCTAACGGGAACTAAAGAATGTTGGTGTAATTGTTTGTTGAAATAATGGTTCATAGTATTTTGAGACCATCTCATGAATACAAAAGTAATGCTTATGATGAAAAGTGTAATACTAATTAGGATTAAATTGATTGTTAGTTATGAGGCAAAATGTAACACAAGAAAAATGTAATATTTTAAAGAAAATATGTAATACTTTTAAATCAAAATGTAATATTTAAGTGTTAGATAATTAATAATAAGAAAAAAAATATAATACTGATAAGGAATAAATTAATTGATTATTACTTATGAGACAAAATGTAATACTAATCATGATAAATTGATTGTTACTTATAAAGAAAAATGTACTTATAATATATATATATATATATATATATATATATATATATATATATATATACACGCAACACTTATAAAGAATATGACCAGTTGTTTATTTTTTAATACATTCAACATTTATTTTTTATGTACTGAAAATTTATTTTTGTCTTCACTATATATCTTGTGGACACTGTACAGCTAACTTCACATTGATTACTTATCTTTGGTAGTTGGGGAATTTATGTGGACTTTGCTTCCCAATTTTATTGGTTCTCTTCTTCATTTATTTTGAAACTTTGTTCAAATGAATTAACGGGTCGATTTATCAAAATTTTTAGTATATACAATTATATTGCTTGTTAGTTATGAAGCAAAGTGTAGCAATTATATTGCTTATTAGTTTAGGGTCTATTTTTGAAAATTCGAAAAAAAGATTTCTAGAAGTTATTTTTTGAATTTTATAATGTTTGTATATCCAAAGAAAATAAAATCAAAGGAAAATATGTATTCATGTTAACGGAAAAATGTTTAATTTAGCGAAAAATATCTTTTTTAAATTTTTAGTTGGAAGACTTTTTCATATTCTTTATTTTTTTAGTCCCTCTCTTCTCTCGCTTCTCATTACAAGCTAGTTTCCGAATTATTATTATAATTGCAAATTATAATTTTATCCTTGTATTTGCAATGCATTGGTGACATATTTGATTTTAATTGTTTTCATTGATGATGGATCAAAATCACCACTTTATGAAAAAAAGTGAATTAACTAATAATGCTTACGTTAATAATTAGGAACTGAAATTACTATTATTTTTCATAGATTTGTCTTATTACAAACACTATTTTTTTTTCTCCCAATTTTACTCTTACTGAGATAGATCGATAAGGTTGGTGTCGCTGTGTTGGTACCATATATCATTCATAAGCCTACATGAGTACATGATAAAGGTTTGCGCGTAGGTGTATAAATTTTGATTGGTGAAAAATAGGTCTAATTATTTTATGAATTTTACTCTCTATTTTTAGTCTCTAACTTTTATTCTTTAATGTAATAATTTATGATTAGTTATCCTCATTATGTGGATACCAATCCTCACCAAAAAAAATTATGTGGGTACCAATGAAAAAGTCAACATTAAAATTGTCTGAAAGAGAATAAAAGTTGGGGGTAGAATTTGAAAAAAAAAATGAATGGAATTTTCCTTATTTTATAAGTGGCCAGTTTTTTAATTCAATATTTTAATTTAGGTTTTCAATAATATATTAAATTTTATTTTTAGTAATTGGATGATGCCTACAGTTGACACATTGTGTAATTGCAATTAACCGTTTTTGTACATGTAAACAAATTAACACTTTGGTAAAATTTTTTTTTTTTTAGAATAAATAATTAATTCATTAGATCAGAAAGTAGACAATCAATAAGATAATGAGGAGGGTCATCAAACCACTCCCCGCAACCTGACACAGAAACGGCTTCCTGAGCAACAGTGTGGACAGCACGATTCTCAGATCGCTTAGCAAAACAGAAGTCCACTCCATGAATGGATGAAGCAACTTCTTTAACATCATAATAATGTAACCAAAAGCTGAAGAAAAAGATACTGAACGTAAAGCATAAAAAACTAATTGAGAGTCTGTCTCAAGATCAACATCACCCAAACCCGTTTCCTTTAGCCATGAAAGGGCTTCACGAACACAAACCGCTTCCGCCTCTTTGACCGTGTAATTGCCCATCATACATACACCCTTAGCTGCCAAAAATCTTCCACCATCGTCTCTTAAGACCCAACCCAATCCCATAACGTTATTGCGTTGGTCCAAGGAGACGTCCGTGTTGAGCTTCAAACGGTCAAGACTCGGTGTCGTCCACCTTGCTGGACATTGATGAGAACCAACAGCTAACACTGGAAGTTCACAAGCTGCCTTCCAATTTGCTCGAAATTCAAAGCTCTAGTGGCCACCTGATCACTGGCAAAAGGGATGGCATTCCATACTTTCTCGTTCCTGCTTCCCAATAAACCTCAGCACACCATTGCAAAATTAGACTTGAGCTCCATACTTAGCATAGATAGGTGTGACACCCCGTAAATTTATCCTTTAAAATCTGAATTAATGGTTTAATTAATTCTTATTTACCGCACCATTCATTGGATAGATTCCATTAAATATAGCTAAGGGAATCAAATTTGATCCAAATCCCTTAATT